CAACAGACAATCACTATTTGTAATGCCATCAGAGAGAAATAATATAGACAAACATGTCACTATGGACACCTATCCATTAAGACATCCATTGACTAACAATTTATGTTTATTTTTACATTATTTGCTATATACTCATCCAGCATCATGACAAGCCCTCTGGATGAATTGTCCATTTGATACATCGCCCACTAATGAATCATGGAATAAGACTAACTATTTACTATCTATTATGTTTCATCATGTATTATCTATCATCATCATTTCCATTGGTGTCATCGCTAAGTTGATATATTACATGCATACTAAGTGGTGTATGCAAAATGTGGTTTTATATATTTTATATTTTACGTTTGTCTATATTATTTCTCTCTGATGGCATTACAAATAGTGATTGTCTGTTGACGATATCTTGGCCCCTCCTACTAACCTGAGACTGCCCAACCCAGTGGGGAGGGCCTAGGTTCAGTCCAGGAGTATATATAGGAGAGAGCACTCACAGTTCAGTTAGCTCTGATGAAGAAGGGACCCCCTTCGAAACGCGTCAACTATACTGAACACCCATTCCCCTGATGGGACTCATGTTATCTTCAAGTCCCTGTGAGGACTTACATGCCTGATTTTATTCGCTGTTTGTGAGTATATTTTTTACAATTAATAAATTTTGGTTACTGAGGTAATGCGCAAGGTTGGTGCGCTTCTCGTTTTCATTTCATTCTGCAGTGTTGATTGGGCTTCCCCAGCCTTGTTTTGGAGCCGCACAGCCCTTTATGCATTGGTGGACGATCCCTCCAGGCCTGGTTTTCCATCTATTCGCCACCTGTCTGAGTCCTAGAGCGCAGGAGAATTCGTCTTTGATTTACCATGGCCTTTTGATGACTGAGCAGTACAGCAGGAGGTGAGTAGTGACTGTGGTTGCCTCATATCTCCTGTGCGGCCATGCCATGAGGGGATCAAATACTTATTTCCCTCATGAACATGCAAATCAGTGCATAATTTGTTAGACATGCATTTCTTTTGAATTTTTTGTTGCTATTCTGTCTCTTAGTGTTACAATTCATCTAAAATTCGATTTTTTAGACTGGATCATTTCTTTGTGATTCAAAATCAGCAGGGTATCAACTATTTATTTCCTTCACTGTAATACTTTCATAAACACTGCATTTCACATTCCCAGAATGTTTTATCAATTTTTCCAAAAATTTCCATCACCCCCAAAAAAGAAAAACAGGCTTCAAAATTTCTAGCAATCTTACATCTCTAGTAAAGAGTGCCAACCTTAGCCAAGGGGGCAAGTACAGCCCGGAGGCCTATGCAGCTATTTGGCCCCCTTCTCACTCTCCCTTTTCCCTGCCTCCTCCTAACCCCCATCTGCCACTTTCGTTATCCATGTAAATTAAAACACAAGAAAAAATAAACAATAAATCACATTTTAGGACTGATTACAATAAACAACTAGAGAACTCTTTAATCTTTAAAGCAGAGCTCCACCTAGGAGATGAAGCTCCGCTTTTTCTCTCCCCCCCCCCCCCCTCTTCTGCTGCCTTATTTGGCACCTTTTGGTGGGGCAGGGGGGAGTTTTGACAGATACCCACTCTCAGCTCATTTTTCCATGGAAGTTCTTCCCCCGCAGCCTTCTGGGACACTTCACAGGTCCCAGAAGACTGCGGCCCATAGCAAAGCTCAGCTCGTCATGCATGTGCAGTAGTCAAGATGACGTCTCTGGCACCCGATAGCTGATTGAAGAATCTGCTTGGGTGAGGACACTGCTGGATGCCTGGACAGGTAAGTGCCAAAATATTAAAAGTCATCAGCTACAGTATTTGTAGATGCTGACTGCTAATTTTTGGGGGGTGCTGAACCCCTTTTTTAATCTTGTACCTACAAAATACTGCATAATTACTGTGCTACTGAGTAAGAGACTAACTTACATAAACCTATATTTAATTTTAAAACATCCTGCCATTTATACACTCAGATACAGTCAGTGGCTGAGGAATACTTTGTTGCCAGTATTAAACAAAGTATATTTAGTCGCCCTTATATTAGAAGTCCCCCCTTCACATCTGGAGTCCCCTTATACATCTCTTCACATCAGCAGTGGCCGTTAAAGTGGTTGTAGAGGCTCAAGGTTTTTTTTTACCTTCATGCGTGCTATGCTTGAAGGTAAAAAACGTTCTGTGTGCCGCCCCCCCCCCCCCCCAATATTTACCAGAAATGTGCATGCATACCTCGGCTCTCTGGGGACTCTGCCTCTTCATTGGCTGAAACAGCCATTGGCTCTCGCTGCAGTCAGTCACAGCCAGTGATATATGAGGAGATAGAGGGGCGGAGCTGAGCCTGTGTGTCAATAGACATGAAAAGCAGTGTCTCAAGAGCAAGCCTACTTGGATGCTCCTATAACAAAGCTGCTTGCTCTGGTGATACTCTGGGACCTGAGAAGAGGAGGATCAGGGCTGCCCTGTGCAAAACCACTTCACAAAACAGGTAAGTATAACTTGTTTGCTATTTTTAATGCCTTAAACCCTTTTGCTGCCAGGCCATGTGCTCCACTTTTAAACTCAGGTGGCCAGACCATTTTTGCAATTTTTTCCATTGCTTTTTATTTTATTTTTCTCTTACAGCTTTCAGAGCTTGTAAAAGTCCACCCCCTACCCAAACCATACATTTTCAGAAAGCACATGACTAGTAGAATAAAAAGAAGGTGCTACTGATTTTTAAGGCCCTACAATATATACACAACTTTATATTAAACTATATTTTCTCTAAAAATACACTAAAATCATTATTAGCAGATACAAACACAGCAAATGTTACAACATTCTTCTAAATTTCTACTAAATTTAAAAGCTTAAGCTTTATTGACTTAACAACAAATATTTGTCAATTTTAAATTGTGCCTTTTTGCAAAATGGTGAAAATCGAACTCATGCAAAAAAGGAAATAACTAAAGCACTCTAAATAAATTGAGGTTTCATTTTTCACTTACAGCTTTCAGAGTTTGTAAAAGACCCCAAACCATATATTTTCTAAAGCAAATGACCAGTAGCATAACATCACCATAGGCTCCGCCCCCTTGTCTGAGCTCAGCCGAGTTTGCTCGATACAGGGTCGTCTTCCGAACTGTGCATGTGCAGTTGCAAAGTCGGTCGAAAGCCATTTTTGTTTTTTATGACAAACGCCATCTGTAACAGCTGAACCTGCCTTTTTCCGGGGCATGAGAGTGGCCTGGGGGGCAATTGCCACCCTGCCCTAGGCCCTGTCCACCTCTGCCCTTGTCCTCTGTAATGACCTGAGAGTGAATAACTCTACACCACGTTCACTATATGGACCACTTGTGTATATCTACATGGTGATCATATCTCCTTCTCCATGCCTCTCATCTGTTTGGTTGCCCTTCTCTGAACTTTCTCAAGTACCCCCAATATCCTTTTTGTGAATTGGTGCCCAAAACTGAACTGCATATTCCAGATGAGGTCTTACTAATGATTTGTATAGGGGTAATATGATATCTCTCTCTGCAGTCTATACCTCTTTTAATACTTGCATTATTAGGTCTGTGATCTACAGTACTAGAACACCCAGATCATTCTCCTCCATTGACTTCCCAGCTGTTCTCCTGCTGTGCTTATCTTTACATTTATCAACATTTACCACTTCAGTCCAAGTGACGTACCGGTACGTTGTGGGGTTGAAATGGTCATACCAGGATGATGCTTGTAGTTACAGACACTATCCTGGGAACTTTTTTTTTTGGCCGTAGATGCTCTTTCTAAAAGTAATCCTACCGGCTAATTATCTGCTGGGTTGCTTTTACAGGTGACGGAAGCTCTCCCATGCCTGCGGCGATTAATAGACATGTTTGAAGACTGGACCGTCCACAATCATCTCTATGGTCTAAGAGGCTTTTGCAAACAGGGTGCCTTCTGGTTTCTATAGGGTGTCTTGGCAAAATAACCAGAAATTTACACAAATTTCTCAAAAGTTGTTGACAAGCCAGCAACTGAATCAAGCCTTACTTTTTGTTGCACAGAGCCACAGGTTTATATTGTGCAGCATTAAAACCTTGGGCACCATGCAGGCTAGCCACTGGCATTCTAACAGCCAGTGACGTCATCAGTTAATAAGCAGGACATCGAGTGCCTGCTCAACATCCTTGTTTGCCCTCCCCCCTGCAGCTCTGGTGTCATGTTAGCAGAGAAAGGAGAAACTGAGGAAGAATATAAATGCTGGAATACTAGTCAGTGCTAGTTTAGGTGGAGGAATAAATTAATAAATCACCTCTAATGTTGGGTTTCCCACCACGTGTGTGGATGCTGCTGCATTATGTAAAAACTATTAGTTTCGTAGTGAAGATTACCTGTCGCTACCCGTACTATTACAAGGGAAGTTGTTCATCCCTTGTGATAGCAATAAAGTTGATCATTGTTTTTTTTAAGAGACAATGTAAAAAAAAAAAAAAAAATAATAAGAAAAAATAATTGTAATCAACCTATCCCACCGTGCTTGCGCACAAAGATGAATGCACGTGTTGCTATCGGACGCATTAGTAAACAGCGATCGCACCAACATGTGAGGTATCACCATGAATAGTAGATTGAGAGCCATAATTTTAGCACCAGACCTCCTGTGGAAATCTAAAGTGGTAACCTGTAAAGGCTTCTAAAGCGTAACCTATGGATAATTTAATGTATCATAGTTTGGAGGTTCTAAGTAATTTTCTATTAAAAAAATGCAGATTTTTACATACAGTATATGTAAGAAGTGTAAAAATAGGCCTGATCTTAAAGTGGTTTAAAATGAACACAAGCTCAAGTTATTTACTATATTTCCCTATGCAAAGTAAACACACACTTCTCAAAGAAAACCATTCACTTTGTATAGTGAACAGTCTCTACTCCTTTAGTAAACAAATCTACCCATACATATACATAATATGTGATTGCATCTTACCTAAATCTGAATTTTATAAGATTTTTTTTTTTATTATGTTGTGTTGTTAGCTATTAAAAGGTGTCACCATTGCCAGCGGTGGCGTGTTACCAAATATTCATCCTGAGCTGTTGGCAAAGAAGCGTGGATCCAAAGGAAAGCTGGAGGCTATTATTACACCGCCACCTGCAAAGAAAGCCAAAACTACATCACCAAAAAAATCAGCTTCAAAGAAGCCAGGTGCCAAAAAGGGAGTCAGAAAATACAAGGTATGCATCCACTACTGGTCCAACATAATAAGTTATGATGATATACTGAGAACATGTAAAATATAAGACTAAGGCTTCTTTTGCCAAAATTAGTGCTAATCCTATATAGGTTGACACGTGAATATTAGTGCCTCAACTGAGACTGTAGCAGTTCAGTTCTGCATGATACACTGAACTTTCTGAAAATGGGTTTATACAAGCAATATTGCAAGAACCTGTGCATTGCACCTGTGATGAACTGATCTTGGTCACAATGTTCTGCAGGCTTTATTGAAAAAAATTAGTAAATGCACATTGATTAAGAGATCAGTATCCAGGGCCGCTGTTAGATATCACAGCCTACCTGACAGGGCTCATCTCCAAACTGCCAGGGCCCCCCCCGCCAGAGAAAATATAAAAATTATATTTATGGTAAAAAATACAATAAAAACATTATTAATGTACACAATCCCAACAAAATTTATGTTAAATCTAAATGATAAAACTATACTGAGTTAATAAATAAAGCTGTGTGTGTAATTGAGGTCTTGGGGCTCATTCACATGGGTTCTGTGGCCTGTAGAGTGTGGATCATTGGTTTGTTTTTGTGTGTGGAGCCGCTTGGACCTGTTTGCAGACAACCTATGTTACACTTTGGAAACACTGCAGGTCATAATTTGACAGGCATATGGGTGCAGGTGTAAAGTCCTGAACTCAGACAGTGAGCATTCAGGGCCACTTCCCCACGCCTGCACACCTGTCAGATTAAAACCTGTGTACATACAGCTGCTGTGTCCCCATAGTGTAACAGGTGGCTCCAGCCACATGAACAACCCACTCATTCATGCTGTACAGGCCAGAGGACCTGTGCGAATGTGGCATTTTTGACAATTTTTTTTTCCTCAGCCCATTCATTTCAGTTGGCTGCCTAACGTGTGGGAACAGGCAAAAATGCTGCAGGCATATTATTTTAAAAGTGTGTCGCACCTAACCGCACAGTAGTGTGGTGCCATGCGTTTTGGTGGCTGTGAATGCATCTGTGTTTGCTAGACGTGTGGAGGTGCAATTAAGTATTCATGGTGCCTGCACACATCTGCAGAGGGCATTGCTTTTCTTTGCTGTGCAGGAAAATGCCTGCTCTTACATGCTTTTCTGCACCACAAATAGTGTGAACAATTCCTAAGGGCCAGTTCACACTATAGAAACACAGTCTAGATGTGTTCTGGATGCGTTTTTGCATGCACATTTTACGCGGTTTTAGCACGTTCCGGTGCATTTTTGATGCGTTCCAGTCCATTTTTCCCCTCTTTTTTTCTTCAATTTAATTATGGGCATGTGCGTTCCAGTGCTTTTTTTGGTGCGCTTTAGTGCATTCCGGTGCATTTTTGATGCGTTTTACCGTGTTACAGTACAGTTTTGTGCATAAAAAGGGCTTTTTTTCTGAAGCCAGAACGCACTGGAACTACAAGCACTGATGTGGACTATGACACTGACAACCATATAACCTACTTTCTGTGCATTTTGGATGTAAAAAAAATCAACTGAAATGCATGTAGTGTGAACTGGCCCTTAAGTTTATTATAGTTAAGGGAATGGGACTGACTAGGAATTGTGAATTCAATCAGACTAGTGGTGAGATACAATTAGGAATCTTATAATAATACTAGATTTCAGCTGCAGGTGATAAATTAACAGAGTTGAGCTGTGATATATAGATTTGCAGAGAGAACAGGTGATGACAATGGGGGGGGGGGGGGGGTCAAGTTGTATAAGGAAAGAGGTTTGTAGAAGTGAACTGAAAGGGATCAGTCTGGGGGAGAGGAGAGAAACAAAGTTGCAATCAAATGTAAACAGAAAGAAACGTGAAAGTGTCTAACTTGTGGAGCAGAGCAGGAGCACCTGGAACATTGACAACACTGAGCCCCTGTGTGACAGGATGCCAGGAGGCTAACAATGGAATTTATCAGCTGCAGATGGGCCTGTCAGCTGTCCATGCCTTCCACTGCAGCTGATGGGGCTGGGCCCCCTACAGGAGGGCCAAGGGTACGCCCTTATCAGTGGCCCTGTCAATATCCCTTCATTTACTACTCTTTTGCAAAAGGTAGACTAAGCTTTTGATATTTTCTCTCTCACTCTTTTTAAATATACACTGCTCGAAAAAATTAAAGGAACACTTTGAAAACACATCAGATCTCAATGGGGAAAAAATATCATGCTGGATATCTATACCAATATGATTCCTCACACATTACACCAGTAATGTGTGAGGAATGTAAGGATGCCCCATCATTTCATGGAAATGAAAATGATCAACTTACAGAGAATTCAAAGACACCCTGAAAATCAAAGTAAAAATATGATGCAGCAGGCTAGTCCATTTTGCTGAAATTTCATTGCAGCAACTCAAAATGGTACTCAGTAGTTTGTATGGCCTTGTGCTTGTATGCACGCCTGACAACATCAGGGCATGCTCCTAATGAGACGACATATGGTGTTTTGGGGTATTTCCTCCCAGATCTGGACCAGGGCATCACTGAGCTCCTGGACAGTCTGAGGTGCAACCTGGCGGCGTTGATATCCCAGAGGTGTTCTTTTGGATTTAGATCAAGAAAGCGTGCGCTCCATTCAATGATATCAGTTCCTTCATCTTCCAGGAACTGCCTGCATACTCTCACCACATAAGGCCATGCATTGACGTGTACCAGGAGAAACCCAGGACCCACTGCACCAGCATAGGGTCTGACAATGAGCCCAAGGATTTCATTCTGATACCTAATGGCAGTCAGGGTGCCATTGTCTAATCTGTAGAGGTCTGTGCGTCCCTCCCTGGATATGCTCCCCCAGATCATCACTGACCCACCACCAAAATGGTCATGCTGGACGATGTTACAGGCAGCATAACCTTCTCCATGGCTTCTCCAGACCCTTTCACGTCTGTCACATGTGCTCAGGGTGAACCTGCTCTCATCTGTGAAAAACACAGGGCGCCAGTGGCGGACCTGCCAGTTCTGGTGATAAATGCCAATAGAGCTCTATGGTGCCGAGCAAGGAAGCACAGGTCCCACTAGAGGATGTGGGTCACTCAGGCCACACTCATGAAGTCTGTTTTTGATTGTTTGGTCTGAGACATTCACACCAGTGGCCTGCTGGAGGTCATTTTGTAGGGCTCTGGCAGTGCTCATCCTGTTCCTGCTTGCACAAAGGAGCAGATACCGGTCCGTCGGATTGGTTAAGGACCTTCTTTGATGCTCTCCAGCTCTCCTAGAGTAACTGCTTGTCTCTTGAGACTGTGCTGGGAGACACAGCAAACCTTATGGCAATGGCACGTATTGATGTGCCATCCTGAAAGAGTTGGACTGCCTGTGCAACCTCTGTAGGGTCCAGGTATCACCTCATGCTACCAGTAGTGACACTGACCCTAGCCAAATGCAAAACTAGTGAAGAAGTCTCAGAAAAGATGAATAGGGAAAAAAATATCAGTGGCCTCCACCTGTAAAACCATTCCTGTTTTGGGGGTTGTCTCATTGTTGCCCATATAGTGCACCTGTTGTTAATATCATGAACACCAAAGCAGCTGAAACTGATTAACAACCCCCTCTGTTACTTAAGTGAGCAGATCAATATCCCAGGAGTTTAATTGACTTGATTTTATACTCTGATTAAAAAGTTTTTTTGAGCAGTGTATATATGGTACACACATTTTTCTTCTTTTATGGAGAGGGGGGTATCACCATGGAAGATAACTTATTTTGATAAAAGGGGGACTAGGAGCTATTATTCCCATTTTTCTTTTAACTACATAGTAGCCACTGATATGAGGCATAGGTGTACCAGATGTTTCAATTCCCAATACAGGCATGCTAGTTTTAGGTTTGTAGGTTTGTAATAACTCATCAATGTAGAAAGGATAAGAATGACGGCCCTGGAACTTGCTCCTATAAATCCAATTCAGCATCATCATCTCCCATATATTCCCAATAGGTCTCTTTTATGATGGCCAGCAGATTTGTTGATTTTAACACTCGGATGTGGGCTGAATCTTAGTTTGCATGGATCACTTCACCCATCTCTAATCTTAATGTCATACAAGCAAACTTTAACTTCATAGGTCTACTGCACAGTGGAAGATACTTATAAAAGTGTCACAAATAACTGTTTTTACATACATAACACCAGTCAACAAGTTTCAAACTCATTTTTCTTTGTAAGCTGGAGTATAAATGGTTACTGTAAGGCAACACAGGCAGTTCTTATTTTATGCACATTGATATATGTGGCTCTGTGTTAATTTATACATGTATTTCAGTTAATGTGGAAATGTTATTTAACTGCTAATAATTTGAAAGTAAGCATTTTACTTCCTTGTACTTATTTTAGGTATAACATCTCTTGTATTATAAAATGTCTCATAAAGACAAAGCTTTCTCTGTCTAAGTTGCCTTGACTGAGGTCACATTAAATAGCCACTTCCTGCATCCTGGACTTGGCTTATTATAAATGTCAGAAGGTTGCATGTCTCTCCATTAAAATAAACAGTGACATTGAAATGATACACTATTTAAAGGCAATTTAGCTAATATGTGTTTTGAGTATATGGTTGTAATAGGAAATACAATATTGCACAAGAACCTGGTGGGAAGATTATGTAAAAGGTCAAATCAAAAGAGTGGACTATGAGCAAAACCAAGTGCTTAGTCAGGAATAGGTTACATTTACTGACATTATTAGCTGTGAACATACAAGTAAAAAGAGGAAGTAAATCAAAAATTAACAAGATCTTTGCATGAAGTTGCACTATTCAATGACATTAGAAATGAATTGCACAATGAGACACATGAGTTGATTTACTAAAGTCACATAGGCTGTTCACTTTGCAATGGAAGTTACACTTTGCAAGGATATTTTTTCGCAGAGCTTAGTGAATGTGGAGACATTTCACTTTGCAAAAATATGCAATCACATGCAAGGAAAAAAAAAAGTTTTTACTTGGACATGATTGGATGATGAAATTTAGTAGAGCTTCATCTCATTCACTAAACTCTGAGGAAAATTCCCTTGCGAAGTGAACAGTCTATTTGCCTTTAGTAAATCAATCTCACAGAGAACAGAACAGGGAATAAAGGATATTTTGTTAGACCTTATTATTCAAGGGACTTTAAGACTGGCCATTGATGGAAATATGTCTCCTCAATCAAGATTGGCAAGGATTTATCTGTTCATCCTTTATTGAATTGCCGGAGTGTCAGTATCTGCTATGATATGATTGTGGTAGTAGTCAATTTTGATTCTTTGCTTATCACAGTAGCAGGGAAATGGATTTGAACTGCTGATGGAACTGCTGATGCAAAGGTGCATGTTAAGGCTTTAAGAGTATTGTTTATAGAAAAATACCTTTTGATTGGCTGAACATGGACTTATTTCTCTTTTCAGTCTGGCTACCTAAGACCTGCCAGAAATACACTCAGCTCCTAATTTTCTTTTTTAAATTTATACCAAATGCCCTTTGGTGGACTGAAATGGACTTTGTGTCAGCCCAGGCTAGTTTTCTTTTGTTAAAAGAGAAGTATAGTCAAAGCATTTTTGGCTATACCTTTCCTATAGATCACAGGTGCAGTTCGTTCTGTGTCCCATTTTCAGCTGACAGAGGGCTAAAGCTCACTGTTGGCTGATGTCACAGAGCCGGTTCAGGCTCTGAAAAGATCCTGACCATATGGTTGGGATCCACCCAGAAATCTGGACCAGCAGCTGACTCCCTCCACTGAGCGCTGGAGGGACTGTGAGCTGGTGACTGACAGGCATTGCTCTCTGCTCAGAAGAGAGGGGAGAACTGAGCGATCAGTGGTGTTTGATCGCTCAGTTCTCAGTGCAGAACCGGAGCTTCGAATCAATACTGCATTCACCAAAGTGAGTTTGTTTTTTAATCCCACCCAATTGCTTCATCGACACAGTTAGGAACTAATAGTTCTGTAGTTCAAGATAACTGTTGGGAATCCTTGAGATAACATAGGAAGTGTGAACAGAACACAGAAAAGCTCTGAATTTCTGACGATCAATAACAGATATGACAAAATGCTTTCAATGTTATATTAAGCAGGCCAAAAAGCAAATAAGAGAGGATTGGTTGCACTTTACATGCACGTCAAAAGGTAGGTATGTTTTGGTTCCTGTTTTCATGTGTTGTTCACTTAGTAGTTTTGGAGATACTACAGGTTTAGTTTAATTTATTTGACAAGTTCATAGATATTATATACCATAATATTTTGTACATATGGTATTATTTAATATAATTACTTGTTCTGTATAACAACATCCTCTGTGTTTAATCATTGTATGCATGCAGAAGAAGCAAGGGGAAGTTAGCAAAAGCTGCAAGTGCAGACAGTACGACAGAAGGGGCACCGGCCAATGGATTCACTATCCTTTCTACCAAAAGTCTTTTCCTGGGACAGAAGGTATTTCTCACTTTATTAAATGGCTACAGTACTGCAGTCTAGACAATATACAAAAGCAGAAAGAGAATATTTAACCAGGCTACAAATACATCACAATTTTACTTTATGCATATATACTAACTAATCAAATTATAGTAATGAAGGAGCAGAATATAAAAAAAAATATGTTGAAGGTTTATGTACTTAATGTGGCCTATTTTTAAGGCACATGGTCACTTTCTACCTATAACAAATTTGCTATGCTTTATTGATTTTTTCAGTTGTGTGTAATCACTTTTAGTTCCCTCTTTTTATAATTCTGTACTTTGTCCTTTTTGATCCCACTTGAATTTTTATATTTTTTTGATTGCCATGTGTAATTTATAGGCACATATAGCCCCAATGTGTAATGAACATATGGCTGTTGTAACCGTTATAACTTGATTGTAGATCCCACTCATGAACAGTGAAACTTACAACATCCTCAGGAGAGGAACAATAGATGCAGGAGAGTTTGAGATAAATTAAATTAAAAAAATGTAAACAAGCATACAGGTAGTTTGAAAACATAAAAAGAAACCATATATCTATTTCCTTTATTTGAGGTAATAAAGGTAACTTACATTTAATACTGTGTGGCCACTAAACATAATATGCAAGTTGCTTGCAAAAGATGGTTGATGATATTCACAAACAAATATGTAAAAGTTTCAAGAGCCCATCAGAAAAAAAAAAAAAAAAATTTTAAATTAAAGTTGATATTGTTGGAAAGACTTTATCTCTAGTAAAATAGTATGACAGTTAACAATTGATAGTTTCAAATGGCAATTCCACTTTAATTAAAAAATATAATTGCTGCAAAAGCCATTTTGGTATTTGGGCTAAAAAAAATGTCTTGTTTAATCTGCAACCAACACAGATTATCTAAACATGGCTTCCTTGTATGGGAGAGTCGAGTTCTGTACACTCTCAGTGTAGAGAATGACCCCAAAAATGTAATTTTCTGTTTTATGATTGGCTCACTGCTTTTCCCAGTAGTCCATCATGTCATGTTTACGCTTCCATACAAATAGTGACAGATAGGATCAAAGAAAAACTAACTCCACAAAAACGTTATTTAAGTAATTTTAGATAGAGCAGCAAAGGGTTAGCCAGGAAGAAGGGTCAGCTGCGCATCGGAAGATTGATGAATATAGTGTATATTTATTGATCCATAGGACACACAACACCAGGACATGAATAGAGGTCCTGTATTCATGTCTTGGTGCTTTGTGTGTCCTATGGATCAATAAATATACACTATATTCATCAATCCTCCGGTGTGCGGCTGACCCTTCTTCCTGTTGCATCGTGTGTGGAGGCGAGCCAGAGCCTGCACCTGTTGTGGATCGATCTGGCCTGAACGGTATACTTCTGTTCTTTGAGGAAAGTGTTAGAGCCTGAGTCAGGCTTTAATTGCTATATCTTTGTCAGATAAATTCATCCCTCTATTTGTCCCAATGGCTATTGTCACAGAGATAGAAAGTGATGAGAAATTCAAGATTATACAGTCCTGAGAAAAAAAAAAGAGATGAGGGGTAGTCTTCAAAAGGCAACACCTATTATGGTGACTACTGACTAAAAGGAAAACTTGTAAATATTTCCTCTCACTTAAATCTATAGGACAAGAAATGAATGGAAATCTTTCCAATAGGAGATCTGTGTTCCTGTTTTGGAGATTTCCTGTCACTGTGAGGACAGAAGTGATGGGATATCTTTCCAATGGGAAAACAGACAATAACACCTTTTTGTTGGAGTGGGGAAAGTTTAGAATTTTTGGCAAGGTTTTTATTGCTGCCTGTTCCTTCCTGGTCAGGTGATGGCAAGAACACACATTTCCAATACGGGTACTGCAAGGACAGAAAGTAAGGGAAATCCACCCTAGTGGAGCTAGACTAGAGACAGAAATATAAAACATGCAGAAAGTTTAACTCTTCCAACGTCTGTTGCACTATATTTCTGACCAGGGATAGGCTATTATAAGTATCAACAAAATATACCAGACTTTTTAGGTACCCCAATGACACATTTAGTTTATATTTAAGATCATTTTTATTAATACCATTTAAAATACTTAAACACCAAAAAGTAAAAGACAATGCTTCGAAGACACAAATGCTGTAATGCCCAAGCCCTCCTTCCAGCACTTATTACTAGCATATATAATAGCTATATCATTACATTATTTCATAAGTTATTATGAAATTAAAATTTTTATTTTAAATAACCATACACCACGTTGTGTTGTACTACTTGTGGGGGGTGATGAAGATTTTTTTTTTTTTTTACACTGATTGCTTTTACACCCATAGAGGCTGTAAAAGCAATCATTTCTCCTTCTCTCTGGCTGCATTCTTGCAGCCATTGAGAAAAACTGTTTGAGCTGTGATTGGTCACAACTCGTCACTGCTGTTGTGAATAGCCTTGTACCATGTGACCTCTGTGATCATTCACAGATTTCACACGTAGTAAGCAATGATGTCAGAAGTGACATCATTGCTTACTACTCTGCATGTGATCACTGATTGGCCAATCAGTGATCACATGATCTGGACCTCGCACAGAGGTCCTGTACGACGATCGATGTTCCACTGTGTCCGGAGGACACAGCGGGCACCGGATCGCGGTGCTGCGCACTCCCAGGGTGCGCGCACAAGCAGGGGTTTAGGAGGCCATTTATAAATGGCCACCCGCCCCTGCACTGTTTATATACAACTGCCGGACGGGAGGTGGTTAAAAGGTCAGGTTTCTGTGATGTAAAAAAATGAGACAAAGATAAATAATTTCAGAACTTTTTCCACCTTTCATGTGACCTATAAACTGTACAACTCAGTTAATCAACAAACTGAAATCTTGTAGGTGGAGGGAAGTAAAAATCTAAAATAATATGGTTGCATAAGTGTGCACACCCTTAAACTAATAGTTTGTTGAAGCACCTTTTGATTTTATTACAGCATGGCACATCTTGACACTCTTCCTTGCGAAAACACTTCAGATCTGTCAGATTGCAAGGGCATCTCCTGTGCACAACCCTCTTCAGATCATCCCACAGATTTCTGATTGGATTCAGGTCTGGGCTCTGTCTGGGCCAGTCCAAAACTTTAATCTTCTTCTGGTACATCCATTCCTTTGTTGATTTGGATATATGTTTTGGGTCATTGTCATGCTGAAAGTTCCTGTTCATGTTCAGCTTTCTAGAAGAAGCTTGACGGTTTTGTGCCAATATTGACTGGCATTTGAAACTGTTTATAATTCCCTCTACCTTGACTAAGGCCCCAGTTCCAGCTAAAGAAAAACAGCCCCAAAGCATGATGCTGCCTGCAACCATGCTTCACTGTGGGTATGGTGTTGTTTTGGTGATGTGCAGCTTGGATGTTTTTCTTTGTAAGAAAAGGCTTTCTTCTTGCCACTCTACCCCAAAGCCCAGACATCTGCAGAATACGGGAGATTGTTGTCACATGTACTACACAGCCAGTACTTGCCATATATTCCTGCAGCTCCTTAAATGTTGCTGTAGGCCTCTTGGCAGCCTCCCAGACCAGTTTTCTTCTCGTCTTTTCTTTAATTTTGGAGGGACGTCCAATTCTTGGTAATGTCACTGTTACGCCATATTTTCTCCACTTGATGATGACTGTCTTCACTGTGTTCCATGGTATATCTAATGCCTTGGAAGTTCTTTTGCACCCTTCTCCTGACTGATACCTTTTAACAATGAGATCCCTCTGATGTCAGGAAAGTCCGAACAGCTGAACTTTATTTGAGGTTAATCAAAGGCACTTTAAATGATGTCAGGTGTGTACTGACTCCTATTTAACATGATTTTGAATGTGATTGCTTAATTCTGAACACAGCCACATCCCCAGTTATAAGAGGGTGTGCACACTTATGCAACTGCATTATTTTAGTTTTTTATGTTTGCTTTCCCCCTAAAAGATTTCAGTTTGTTTTTCAATTGAGGTATACAGTTTATAGGTCACATTAAAGGTCTCATTTTTTTTTACACACGTTTTATAAGTCACAGAAACCTGACATTTTAACAGGGGCATATAGACTTTTTATATCCACTGTGTGTGTGTGTGTGTGTATATATATAAATACATACACACACATACATATACATATATATATATATATATATACACATACATATATATATATACAGTCATGGCCGAAATTGTTGGCACCCTTGATATTTCTCCAGGAAATCATGTATTTCTCACGAAACGTATTGCATTAACACATGTTTTGCTATACACATGTTTATTCCCTTTGTGTGTATTGGGACAAAACAAAAAAAAGGGAGGAAAGAAAGCAAATTCGACATAATGTCACACAAACCTCCAAAAAATGGGCTGGACAAAAGTTTGGCACCCTTTCACAACTGCGGATAAATAAGAATGTTACAAGCATGTGATGCTCCTGTAAACTCACCTGGGGCAAGTAACAGGTGTGGGCAATATAGAAATCACACCTGAAAGCAGATAAAAAGGAGAGACGTTCACTTAACCTTTGCATTGTGTGTCTGTCTGTGCCACACTAAGCATGGACAACAGAAAGAGGAGACGAGAACTGTCTGAGGACCTGAGAACCAAAATTGTGGCAAAATATCAACAATCTCAAGGTTACAAGTCCATCTCCAGAGAACTAGATTTGCCTTTGTCCACAGTGCGCAACATTATCAAGAAGTTTGCAACCCATGGCACTGTAGCTAATCTCCCTGGTCGTGGACGGATGAGGAAAATTGATGAAAGATTGCAACGCAGAATAGTCCGGATGGTGGATAAGCAGCCCCCAAACATGTTCCAAAGACATTCAAGCTGTCTCCACATGCAGGCTCAGGGAGCATCAGTGTCAGCGCGAACTATCCGTCGACATTTAAATGAAATGAAACGCTATGGCAGGAGACCCAGGAGGACCCCACTGCTGACACAGAGACATAAAAAAGCAAGACTACAGTTTGCAAAATGTACTTGAGTAAGCCA